GCAAGGTTCCCAGGTCCTGTGGCTGCAAAACGAGCCGAAATCATCACCCCTCCACCACCATGGTTGGCAGTTGGCATGAGGTGTTTGTGCTGATATGCTTGGCATTCTCCAAATGTGTCGCTATGCATTATGGCCAAACATCTTCCCTTTGGTCTCATCTGTCCAAAGGATATTGGTCCAGAAGTCTTGTGGTTTGTTTAGATGCAAATCTGTAAAACCTAAGCCGTGCGGCCATGTTTTTTTTAGAGAGAAGAGCTTTTCGCCCAGCAACCCTTCCAAAAAAAAAACCATACTTGTTTAGTCTTTTTCTAATTGTACTGTCATGAACTTTAACATGCTGAGGCCTGTGGAGTCTGGGATGTAAGCTCTCGTTCACACGACGAACGCTCTACAAAACGCTCAAACATCTAAATCCCATTGTATTCAATGGGTCTGGTTCACACCTTGGCGTATTTCGGCCCGTCCCTGACGCGCTACAAAACGGCCCACGCCTGGAAAGGTACATGTACTATTTTAGGCCGTTTTTGTTGCGTCTGTCGCGCGATTTTTTTACCGCGAATCGCGGTTAAAAAAACGTGCGACAACCGCGCATATGCAATACGCCTAGGTGTGAACCAGGGATAACTCCTGGTTTTTTTTTTTATTTCTTTGAGCATTGCATGGCTTTGGAGTGAATTTGCAGGCACACCACTCCTGGGAAGAATGGCAACGGTCTTGAATGTTTTCCACTTGTGATTATTATTCCTCACTATTCAATAATGGACTTTAAATTGTTTGGAAATGGCCACATAACCCTTCTCAGATTGATGGGCAGCAACAATGACTTCTGTAAGATCATTGCGAATGTCTCGCCTCCTTGGCATTATGTTACCACACCTGAATGCTCCGGACCTGCAAACTGCTAAAACCTCAGCTTTTATAGAGGTGATCACACTTGCTGATGATCAATTAATAAAGGACATTTGATGAGCAGCACCTGGATGCTACTTAGCCTCTTGATTCCCATGGAAGCAGTAAAACTGGCCATACTCTAGTAGATTTTCGAATGAAAGATCCTTCTTTACCACCTCATGATGCCATGAGACACTTGACGAACGTCGAATGAAATTTCCTTTAATTTTAACATTCGATTTTGCAATGAACGGAGTTTCCCCAAACGAAAACCACATTCACTGTTAAAATGTATTAGTTCCAGAAAAGTTTCCATCCCGCTCCTTCAAGTTTTTGTTTTTTTCATCACTACGGTTGAAATCCATAATCAATTTGATCCCATCAACTAATAAAAGTTGAATGAAAGAAAGATTTTGTAGGAAAATTCATTTGAAAATCTACTAGTGTCTGAACAGCTTTAGAGCGTCCTTAGTTTTCACACTTCTTTATTTGGGCTTTATATTTGTAAAATAATGACACAGTGTAATATGTCATGTGTTGTTGTGCATCTGAGATTGTATTTACCTCATTTGAAGGCCTGATAAGGACCAGATGATTATTATGTCCTAATACATAAAACCATAGAAGTCAAAGAGGGTGTACTTTCTTTTTCACACTACTGTATGTTTATTCTTTTTACTTCCAATGGCTTTGTAATTTTCTTCAGCTACTCTTTCAACGTCCTAATATCTAACAGCCAGGTAGTACCCCTTTTGCTACGTTCTAGGTCACCTGCCAGCATCTTGGTCCGAGGTGATCATGCAGATTTATTGCCGAGGGAGAGAGGTAATGTTGATGACTGTATGGCTGAAGTAGGAGGTAAAGTCACACACCTGCCTCGCTGTGCATCATTAGAAATGATAGTGTGCTTTATTTACCAATTATTGCACACTCTATAGATAGACTTCAACATCCCGCAAACCCCTTTCTGAATTCATTCTTCTAACAAATTACAAAGAATTCCTCCATAGGTAAAACCCTATGTGTGACAGGCATGTCTCCCATTCTGCCCAATTGTCTGATCTCTGGCGAGAGTAAACTGGTATATCAGTGTAAGGGGCACACTACTTAACAGAACACTAAGCTGTAAAATAGCAAAGAGCTGTAGTAGATAACTGTAGGTCCTGAGCAGCATGCCACTATTCCTCAGATAATGCCTTTAGCAGGTGTCCGTTTTTTGATCGCATGTTTCATATAAATAATTGAAAAACATACTTAATATTGTACAAGTGCAATAGACATCAAAGAACAGAAGTTAAAGCCCAACGTCAGGGAAAAGGAGCAACCAGTCAATTTCTGCAAGGTAAGCGGACTATTTGTGATACATGACTTCAGGGAGAGGGAAGCCCAAGAAAAGACGAAGTAGTACCTGACAAGTTAGATATCCATGCATACGAGCCCTCACAGTAAAGAATGTACATGGAGCCAGGGGAAAAAAAAAACCCTTGGCAGACCAAAACTAAAGGGTTCTAACCCTGATCCTTTCTTAAAGCTGAACTCCAGTTATAAATAGATTTATGTATACTTACATTGGTACATCTTGGCCCAATGTAAATATACATATTTTTCACCTGGTAGGGCCATTCTCTAATGATGCTGTGCGACATCCCTCTGCAGTGAAAACAGAGGGTTGCTAGCCTGGCAGAGTGGCCATTCAGCAAATGCCTGGTATATTTACCAATGTATGCTAGGTGTTCTCCAATTGGACTATGGATGGTGCCATGAGTAGATCACCCGATATTCATTGATAAACCATTCCCCAAGGACCAGCCTCTTCATGAGTGGGAGTCAGAAATGTCAGAGTACAAGGCAAACCTAGAAAGGTGGACAATTAGATGCGGTATTACTAGAAGGGTGCGAAGGGGCAGCTGCTTGACAGGTCGAGTGTAAGCTACAGAGGGAAACCTGAGCATTCAAGCTGCAGAGATGAGTTACCAAGGAACCCAGTAAGAACAACCAACCAGTTACGGCTTGCAAACGTAGGGGCGCACGTTCATGCAGACCTTTGAGTAGAAGAGTCTGAAGGATTCTGTCTTCAGGAACAGTGGTTTTAGGTGATAAGTATACATCTCGCTACGAGTTACTACTGAAGTATGGGGTAAATGTTGGGGTTCCGCTGCTCCATCCACAGATCTCCTGGGCTAAATCAGGTTTACAGTGCGATGACTAGTAGCATTGGGAAATTACATTCTCAAGGACAGATCTGTAGAGATGCCTACCCTTAACCCCATAATGACCCCAATGCCTTTCTTTCCTTTTTGCACCCATGTTATAATGCACATTTTAGGCCTGAAAATTACTTCAAACCCCCAAACACTAAATATTTTCTGAAATCCAAGACCCTGTAGAATAAAACTGTGTGCAGTTGCAAATGTTTATGTTGCACAATGTTAGCGCAAATCATCAAACCCAAACATGTTGTGAATAATGCACTTGTTAAATTTAGTGACCAAACACAATAAAATACCAATGCCCAGGTTAAAAATTGTGTGCGTTCGTGAAAATGCGACAAAATTCAGTACCCCAAAAAGTCCATAGACACTTTAAAAGCCCCCACAGGTCATAAGTTTAGAGATGCGCGAAACTATTGGCCCTAGAATTATTGCGCTCACCCTGTCGTGCGAGGCAATACCCAACATGTGTAGCGCGATCGTTGTTTTCATACGTAGGCGCACCAGACACGTGTTCGCGGGGGACTTTAAACTTTTTTTTAACATTTAATTTTATGTCTTTTTAACATTAAATTGTTATCACATAGGGCTTACAAGCCCCCCATGTGATAGCATATTGGTGGTGACAGGTCCTCTTTAAGGTGATGCTGGGGGTCCAAAAGAACCTCAAGTATCACCTTTATACTTTAAATAAGCTTCAGGAGCCCAGCACTGAAAGCTATGGGACCGGTAGTGATGTAATCTGTATCCCTCCCAGCCCC